AGTTCACATACAAAAATGTTTAAACACAAATATGTTTTCAATCTCAATTTAAAAGATAAGTCAATGAAGACTCAAAGGTTGATAATCTTTATAAAATATTTTTGTGGGGATAGTATCCCTGATGAACATAAATGCTAAAATCCTCAACAAAATATTAGCAAATTGGACCCAGAAATACATTAAAAAGATCATACACCATGACCAAGTGGGATTTATTCTGGGGATGCAAGGCTGGTACAATATTCGCAAATCAGTAAATGTGATCACATAAACAGATTGCAAGACAAAAATCACCTGATGATATCAATTGATGCAGAAAAAGCATTCAACAAAATCCAACACCCTTTTTACTCTCAGTAAAGTGGGATTAGAGGGATCATACCTCAACATAATAAAAGCCATATATGACAAACCTACAGCCAACATCATACTCAATGGGCAAAAACTAAAACTATTTCTCCTAAGAACAAGCTAGGGATGCCCACTTTCACCACTCTTGTTTAACATAGTATTGGAAGTCCTAGCCATAGCGGTCAGAAAAGAAGAAAAAATAAAAGAGATACAAATTAGAAAGGAGGAAAAACTGTCATTATTCACAGATGACATGATATTGTATATAGAAAACCCTAAAGACTCCATCAAAAAACTACTAGATTTAATAAATGAATTTGGCAGGATACAAAATTAACACCCAGAAGTCTATAACATTTTTATACACCAGGGGCCCAGTGCACGAAATTCTTGTGTGTGTGTGTGTGGGAGGGTGTCCCTCAGCCTAGCCTGCGCCCTCTTGCAATCCGGGACCCCTCAAGTAGTGTCCCTAGGTCTGGTCGGAGATCAGGGCCTATTGGGGCTTTCCTTCCCCTGGCTGCCGGCAACTGACCCCACCCCTGCTGCTGCCACTGCTTGCCATCTGTGCAGCGCTACCCCCTCTCCTCCACCACTGATCGCCTCCCTCTCCCAGGTGACAGGTGTGGGGTGCGATCGCTTGACTGGCCTGGGCCTCCCTCTGCAGGGTGATCGCTGGCCAGCCCCGCACACCCGCCACAGCGTTGCTGGCTGGTGGCCTGGGCCTCCCTCTTTGGGGCGATCAATTGCAGAGCCCCTCCTCCTCTCTAATCGATCGCCCCACTGGCTGGCTGGTGGAGCCCCGCCATTAATCGCCCTGCAGAGCATGGCCTGGGCCTCCCTCTGCAGGGCAATTGTGGGGTGATGGTGGGGCTCCCTGACCAATCATATCACACCCGCCTTGGCTGGCCTGGTGCAAATGCATGTCATAGCATGGTCATCTGGAAGGTCTTCTAGACTCGTTCTGCTGTTTGGTCGTTTGGTCTATTTGCATATTATGCTTTTATTATTATAGATAATGAACTCTCAGAAAGAGAAACTAAAAAGAAAAATTCCGCTTACCATTGCAACAAAAAATTAAGATACTTCGGAATAAACTTAACCAAGGAGGTAAAAGACCTGTACTCTGAAAACTAAAGGACTTTGAAAACAGATATACTAGTAGAGGAGGATATAAACAAGGAAGATTATACCATGTTCATGGATTGGTAGAATCAACATCATTAAAATGTCCATACTACCCAAAACAAGCTATAGATTCATGCAATCCCTACTAAAATACCAATGGCATATTTCACAGATATAGAACAAACACTCCAAAAATTTATATGGAACCAAAAAAGACCACCAATAGCTGTAACAATCTTGAGAAAGAAGAACAAAGTTGGAGGAATCACAATACCAGATATCAAGCTATACTACCACTTGGAGTGCGGGTGAATTTCCCGCCAAAATATAAGATGGCTCTGTCTTTTAGTTTTGTTCCATCCACCAAAAGGGTGGATTACAAACAAATATTTGGTAATACGCAGTTACAATCGGCCCGAGTTTACACGTTTCCCGCACTCCACCGCAAATCTATATGAACCGAGTTAAAGACGGCTCCCGCGGAGTACGCGCAATTCACGCGAGCCGACTTAACTCGTTTCCCGCACTCCAAGTGCTACAAAGCCACTGTTCTCAAAACAGCCTGGTCCTGGAACAAGGACAGGCATATAGACCAATGGAACAGAACAGAAACCCCAGATTTTGAACCACATCATTATGCTCAATTAATATTTGACAAAGGAGGCAAGAGCATACAATGGAATAAAGACATATAATAAATGGTGTTGGGAAAATTGGACAGGTACACACACAAAAATGAAACTAGACCACCAACTTACACCACACACAAGAATAAACTGAAAATGGATAAAAGACTTAAATGTAAGTTGTGAAACCATAAAAATCTTAGAAGAAACCATAGGCAACAAAATCTCAGACATTTCTCATAGCAATATGTCTACCGATATATTTCCTAGGGCAAAGGAAATGAAGGAGAAAATAAATGAGACTACATCAAAATAAAAAGCTTCTGCACAGCAAAAGAAACCATCAACAAAATGAAAAGAGAGCCCACTGCATGGGTGAACATATTTGCCAATGATACATCCAATAAGGGGTTAATTTTCAAAATATATAGGGAACTCATACAACTTAATAAACGGAAAACAAACAGTCCAATTAAAAAATGGTCAAAGGACCTAAATAGACATTTCTCCAAAGTGGACATACAGAAGGCCAAGAGCCATATGAAAAAAATACTCAAAGTCACTAATTATCTGAGAGATGCAAATGAGGTATAACCCACATCTGTCAGAATGGCTGTCATCAACAAATGACAAGTGTTGGTGAGAATGTGGAGAAAAGGAAACCCTAGTACACTCATGGTGGGGATGCAGACTGGTGCAGTTACTGTGGAGAACAGTATGGAGTTTCCTCAAAAAATTAAAAATGGACCTCTCATTTGACCCAGTGATCCCAATTCTAGGAATATATCCCAGGAAATCAGAAACATCAATCAGAAAGGACATATGCACCCCTATGTTCATAGCAGCACAATTTACAATAGCTAAGATTTGGAAACAACCCAAGTGCCCATCAGCACATGAGTGGATTAAAAAACAGTGGTACATTTACATAATGGACTACTACGCAGCTGTAAAAAAGAAAAAACTGTTACCATTTGCAACAGCCTGGATGAACCTGGAGAGTATTATGCTAAGTGAAATAAGCCAGTCAGAGAAAAATAAGTATCACATGATCCCACTCACATGTGGATTGTAATGAACAAAACAAATTGATAAACAAAATAGACCCAGAGACATAGAAGCATGGAACAGACTGTCAAATCTCAGAGGGAAAACAGGGGAAGGTGGATGGATGGGAAGAGATCAACTAAAGAACTTGTAGGCATAACCCATGGACACAGTGGGGAAGACCTGGTATAGGGGGTGGGGACGGGCTAGAAGAGGTCAATGGGGGAAAAAAGGAAATCTATGTACTACTTTCAACAATAAAAGATAAAAAATAAAAGTGTTATTCTTAAAAAAATAATTTCTGTGAAACTTCTGCAATCCTCTGTATAGGAACTTGTGCCCGTTTCTGTTTTGTAGCATATACCAACATATATTATGTTAGATTCTTAATATGTATTTATTTCTCAGGTCATTTTTTTAAAAAAATATATTTTATTGATTTTTTACAGAGAGGAAGGGAGAGAGATAGAGTTAGAAACATCGATGAGAGAGAAACATCGACCAGCTGCCTCCTGCACACCTCCTACTGGGGATGTGCCCGCAACCAAGGTACATGCCCTTGACCGGAATCGAACCTGGGACCTTTCAGTCCTCAGGCCGATGCTCTATCCACTGAGCCAAACAGGTTTCGGCTCTCAGGTCATTTTTTTTCTTTAATGCCTTCGGTAGACCAAAATCATTCATTTTATTTTACTTTTCATACTTTTTAAAAAAATATCTAGCATGGGTTTTGTCAGACAATAACCATGTTTGAATAACTGAATGAATTTCTCTGGTTTTTGTCCTTGAGTTTCTCTAATATCCAGGCTGATAAGATCTGTAATGTATTTTTATTTTAGCATTCAACTTCAATTTGAGTTAACTTTATTTTTCCCCCTTAAAATATATTTAATTTTCTTTTTAAATATACTTTTATTTTATTGAATTCAGAGAGAGGCAGAGAGAGGGAGAGAGAGATAGAAACACCAATGATGAAAGAGAATCATGGATTGGCTGCTTCCTGCATTCCCCCTACTGGGGATCAAGCCCACAACCTGGGTATGTGCCCTGACTGGGAATCGAACTGTGACCACTTGGTTCATAGGTCGACGTTCAACCACTGAGCCACACCGGCCAGGCTGTATTCTATTTTTCGTTTAAAACTTTTTTCTTATTAATCCTCACTTGATATTTTTCCATTTATATATTTTTTTACTTTAAAAATATATTTTTATTGATTTCAGAGGGAGGAAGGGAGAGGGAGAGAGAGAAATATCAATGATGAGAGAGCATCATTGATGAACTGCCTCCTGCAAGCCCCCCCGGGGATCTGTCCCACAACTGGGGCACCCTGACCAGAATTGAAACCTAACTTCCTGGTTCATTGGTTGATACTCAACCATTGAGAATGAAAGGGAGGGAGGGGACACAGAGAGAAACATTGATGTGGGAGAGGCACATTGATTGGTTCTTCCCACTAATACCCTGACCATCTGAGGGATGGACCTGCAACCCAGCTACATGCCCTTGACTAGGAATTGAACCATGATCTTTAGGTGGGCTGGCTGACATTCTACCACTAAGCAACACTGGCCAGGGCTAAAACTGTTTTTTAAGGCATCATAAGTATTTACCTCAACATTTGGTGGTTACTCATTATATGACCCATGTCATAATTTCTTTGTGTATTTTTTACCCATTATACCTTCAATAATTTAAAGTGTTTTCTGTTCCTGAAATTATATTTTTATAGAGGTGCCAGTAAAATACCAGTTTTTACTTTAATTTAAAAATATATGCTGTTATTCAGTAGCTTCCATCTAATTTAAGTGGAAAAGTTGGTTGGATTAAAGAAAAACTTTCTCTTTTCAGATTGCAGCAATTCTCCGGAAACGAAAATTAGACTATTATTTACACAGACTACTCCCTGAGATCCTGCAATCTGCTTCATTTCTGACTGCTAATGGGGCCTTGTATATGGCCTTCTTTTGCATTTTAAGGTTGGTACTCATAATCGCTACTGGAGGTTAATACAAATTCCTGTGTTGAAACGGAAACGAACAGATGTTTATATAAATGTTGTGCAGGTCACTGCTTGTATATTTTTTTCTCTTTGTGAAGTGACATTTATTTATCCCAAGGAAAGCTTGTAAAACCGGGAGTTATGGGCCTCTTGGTCTAAAGATGCAACATAAACTTCAAATTATTGCTGTGATTAAATAGCAAAAGTATTTTACTTTATCACACATTTTCTGAGGGCTACTGTGTTTACCAAGTTGTTGATGAGGATTTCTTAACTTTTCAATTTCATAAATGATGAATTCAAAGCAGTTGTCCATGATATAGGTTTAAGTCCACATGCAGTGTACAACTTCAAAAGGACTATAAACTGTCCGTGTTTAAATATAAAATAGTAAGTTAACTTCTGGCATATCCTACTGATGAAACTTTTGGTCCTGATTCAATCTTATGCACATTACTTGGAGACATGCTTCAAACAATGTAGACGTAGTTGGAATTCAGTTTTTAGTCCTGTGATATGCCTAACATATTTATTAAATATTTACTTTTTATCTTTCCCCCCACTGAATATTGAAAACCCACATTAGTGTGTTTTTAATCTGTCAAGTTTAAAATACTAACTTTATATTGCCCTCATATTAGTGTGATCCAATTTAATGTCGTTCCAAGTTCTGCAGGTATGTTAGCAGAAAGTAAAAATATTTCCAAATGTCTTTCAGAGATATTTCCCTTAAAACATTAATATTTATAGATGTTCAGATTATGCATAAAATAATTAATAAGGTTTATACTATTATGAGTATGTCATGTCTTTAAATTGACCTGGAAATCTGTGTAAGAAACTCTTTATCAGGTGGTATCTGGAAAGTTTCTAACATTTGTTAAAACTCTAAAAATAAAGTTATAAGATAACTAGGTTTTTAAAAAATTACAGTAATAATAAATTGCTATTGCAGCATATTTCTTTAGGTTCCATGAACTTGTTTGGTTAAGTTGTAGAAACGTAAACTACTTATAATAAGGTAACATCAGTATTCCTCCAGTAATTGAATCATTGAGTTATTTTCCTTTAATTTTTACATTCAGTAACTTCTTAAGTTCCTTGTGGATTTTATATTGGATGGGGGACTACTAATAGTTTTCTCAGGCAGAAGGTTTCTGATGTCCGTTTCGGAAATATCCATGTTATATATGCTTAGTAGGTTTTCTAATTCTTTAAAGCTAAGCTTCATTTCAAAAGATCATTTCATCTTTATTCTTAGCCTTATCTGTGTATATCTCAGGAACATACTGTCTTTGAAAGGAAAAAAAAAGTCTTTCCAACATCTCCATTTTTTTTCTCTTTAAAAATCTAAGCATCTAATGGTTTTATATAATGTGTGAGACACTATGCAGAGTCTTACTTTCAAGGGACATATTCTAGTAAGTGAAAAATTATATAAACATATAACTAAAAGTAGGAAACATTTTTTTAGTAAGTGCTGTAAGAAAGAGTTATCAAGGGTGATAGAAGCAAAGAGGGAGAGACATTTGTTGAATATTATGTGTAAAAAATGATAGTAATTATTGTAATAACAGTTAACATTTTCTTTGTATTTTCTATATGCTGTGTATGGTGCTAGGAAATATTTCATGTAGTCCTCATAACAATATGAGATCAGTAATATTTTTCGCATTTGATAGATAAGGAAGTTGAGAACACAGAGGGTTTGCATAGTGAGTGATGTTGGATCCAGGAATCTCTAAATGAATATGATTGGCTAAATTATTAGAGGGAGAGATATCTGTTAGTTTGCTATTGTCGTCTGGTGAGAGATGGGGAGGGTCTTATCTAAGACTAGGGGCAGTAGGTTGGAGAGGAATTTGAGAGGATAATTGCATATGAAATGATTTTTAATGTATGGGGTAAGGGAGAAGGAGAAGCCAAGGATGTCTCCAGCTGTCACATATGCATGGATAGGTAGTTGTTGCCAGTAACCTAGGAAAATAGGGGAGAGAGAACAAGTTCATGAGGAAGGAGAGAGAGATCATGAGTTTGTCTTTGGATATGTTGAGTTGGAGGTGCTGTGGACATTTTGATAGAGTGTGGACTGAGAAGGGGAGCTTCTATTTGTAATAACTGAAATGACAAACCAGAAATTTCATATGAACATTCCAAATTTGAATTTCAGGAGGATACTTGGAAAATTCTACTCATGGAGTCCTGGTTTTGGTGCCGCTTTGCCAGCATCTTATATGGCCATTCTGATTGAAAGAAAAAGCAGGTAAAATTTTACATATCTATATATTTAATTGAACTGATTTACTGTCCCCCATGTCAACTAGAATTTTTTTTCTAGTTGCTTATTGTTTATTGTAGTCCAGGTACGAGAAATATTTCCACATATCTTTTTCAATCTTGCAGATATATTATGGCAAATTTAATTTTATACTGTCATTATTTATGTTTATTAAGCCTAAAAATATAAAGATTAACATTATAGAGCAATAATACCAATTAGTCTTTATTTACTAAAAAATTAGAGAATTCTTTGGTGTACCTAACTAAAACATAGCATGCACAAATTATAATTAAAAATCTTTTCCATGCCCTAACCGGTTTGACTCAGTGGATGGAGCATCGGCCTGTGGACTGAGGAGTCCCGGGTTCGATTCCGGTCAAGGGCATGTACCTTGGTTGCGGGCACATCCCCAGTACGGGGTGTGCAGGAGGCAGCTGATCGATATTTCTCTTTCATTGATGTTTCTAACTCTGTATCCCTCTCCCTTCCTCTCTGTAAAAAATAAGTAAAATATGTGTGGATTCTGGAGCTATTCTATTTACAGCTTAGCTAGCTCTGCCACCTATTATGTGACTTCTGTGGCTTATTCCTTACCTGAAAAATGGATAGTGATAATTTACTCAGATAGTTATCCAGAGAATTAAATAAGTGAATATAGGTAAAAGTGCTTAGAACGGTGCTTGACACACGGTGTTATGTTAAATGTTAAGTATTCTTACTGTTTTTTGCTCATGAGTAATGACAGTTATTCTGGTGGTTCCTGATCAATTTAAAAATGTGAATATTGGTTTTGGAAATATGATTTAAAAATATGTTACTCATACTTAGGTCTTATTTTTATAATTTTAGTTTAAAGTAATTAAACGTTTCAGTGAAGAACAGAATTTGTTTAACTATAACACCAAAGTAAAATTGTGCTATTGATATTAAAAGCTATAACTTCTTTTTAAAAATATATATTTTTATTGATTTCAGAGAAGAAGGGAGAGAGGTAGAGATAGAAACATCAGTGATGAGAGAGTCATTGATCGGCTGCCTCCTGCACGCCCCCTTCTGGGGACTGAGCCCAAAACCTGGGCATGTGTCCTGACTGGGAATCAAACCATGACCTCCTGGTTCATAGGTCGACTCTCAACCACTGAGCCACACTGACTGGGCAAAAACTATAACTTCTTAAGGCATAAGGAGGTTTCTTGTAACTGATGTGATTACTTGGATTTTGGTTACTAATTTATGTTCTATTTTTTTTTTTTTTTTACTTTTGATAGGGAACTTTATTTAAAAAAAAAAGCTTTCTGCTTTTATTACCTTTGAGTTACTGCCCTAGTGTTTTGTTTGTAGATACTAAGTATTCACAAAAATTTATAAACCTGTTTTAAATATTAATTGGAGTGGTTTTACTGTTTTAAAAACTTATTAAAAAATTTAAGTCTAGCTTCTCTGTAAGTACTATACCTTGGTTGCTGAAGAAAAATTGACCCTTACCTTAATGTGATTGTTACGTAGTTGAACTCTGTGATATATGTTGATTTACTTCTGTTTATTAGGTAATGCAATAAATGCCTGGAAATAGTTCTTTAGTTTTTTCGTTGAGAGTTATATATGTATATGTATGTATCAACCACAAATCCTAGTTTGGGGTCTAATTAAAACTTTAAATTTTAGTTTTTTAGTATTGTTGAGAAGCTAGTGACTCTTTTTATAAAGCAGGTTTTAAAACTGTTTTTGGGATTAACCTTAAAACATAACAAAGCAAGTCTTTTTGCTCTAGTTTAAGGAAGTCTGGTCTGTGTTTATCTGGAATTGTGTAAAAGTTAACTTAGACTATTTTTTTGGTTTTGAAAAATTATTTTTTACTTATCACAAAATTTAAATATTTTAATAAATTAAACATCAATATCCTTTAATAGATTTTAACTAATTTATAAAGGTTGAAATTATTTATATTTTAAAATTATTATAGCTAGTGCCTAAAATGAAGCATATTAATATTATAGTTTTTACTTTAGGGAAAAGAAGTTTATAATTATTAAAGAATTCACAAGGAAAATCAATGATATGTTGGTGCGGATAGCCAGGAGGCAGCTTGAAATGTGAGTGTAGATTCAGGAGAAGCATGGTAGTTATAAAAATAAAATTGGGGAGTTTTTTTTCTTATAAGTTGTCATTGAAGCTATGAGAGAAGATCATAGTACGAAAGCCCAGAATACGAGGTCTGAGGTTAGAAGTTGGGAAACAACAATATTTAAGGAGTTAGTTGTCAATTGAAACATTCTGTCTCTTTTAAAATAAATATTAGTAATATACATTGAGTGACCAGATTATTATGACCACCTGACGTTTGTAGGCAAATTAGCTGTACATTGCATCGTATGGGATATGGAAGCCGAAGGCCTTTTTGAACACCTTTGCTGTCTGCAGTTACCAAGATAAAACGTCTCCAATTCGCACAAGAACACAAGGATTGGACAGTCAAGCATTGGAAAAAAGTCATGTGGTCCGATGAATCACGTTTCCAGTTGCATCATGCAGATGGCAGAGTGAGAATTTGGCGGAAACGGCTTAAAGCATGCACCCCACATGCATGAGTATAACCCTTCAAGCTGGTGGGGGCAGTGTTATGGTTTGGGGCATGTTTTCCTAGCATGATTTGGGTCCTTTAATTCATGTGGAACAACGTCTGAATAGCACAACATACCTAAGTATCGTTGCTGATCAAGTTCATCCTATCATGTTGATGGTGATCCCAATGGAGATGGCTTCTTCCAACAAGACAATGAGCCATGCCACGGTGCTCGTTTTGTGCAGGAGTGGTTTCAAGAACATGAGGGAGACTTTACCTTGCTTAGGTGGCCTCCACAATCACCAGATCTCAATCCAATTGAGCATTTGTGGGACGAAGTTAAAAGAGCCATCAGGCAGCTGGTTCCACAACCATCAAATCTCACAGACCTGGACAGTACTATTCATCAGGCATGGTGTCAGATTTCTTGCATTACCTTTCAACATCTCGTGGAGTCAATGGCAAGAAGAATCGCTGCAGTATTGAAGGCAAACGTGGCCCAACGAAGTACTGATGGGGTGGTCATAATAATCTGGCCACTCAGTGTATATGAAAGAGTGGAAGAAATGTTATGTGAGGGGTTAGCATTATTTTCCAATTAGCAGCAATAGTTCTAATTTTTAAATCTCTAAAGATTTTATTTAATAGTGAAATCATTACTATGAGATTATACATTTTGGACTCAATTGTATAATTTGTTTTTTAAAAAATAATGAAGTAAGAACATACAATATGATTATACACACATATATACACATGTACATATGGCGGATATATATATATTCATAAATATATCTTCATCTATATTGGTTTAACTTATTTCCTCTCCATCCATCCATCCATCCATCCATCCATCCATTCATTTTTTCCAGTCTCCCTCTCTCCCTTTATAGAATTAAGCATGCTTTGCCAGCTAGTTCTTGACACTTTGTAAGGGGGCAGCTTACTTAAATCTTAATCACATCACGGTGGGGTTCTGAGAAGCTTTGAAGTTGTTTCCAGGGTTGCTCAAAAAATTTGTGCCACAATGAACTGTGATCATAGTAACTCAGCAGGAAGCATAGGTAACATCTAGTTTATCTCTAGGTGGGCTGTTAAGAACTAGTCTTCTCTTTCTTTTTCTAGGAAGTGCTTTGTTTGTGGTTCAGAAAGAAGTTGTTCTGTGGATTTTGTTTTGTGGAATTGCTTTGGAATTTGCTTTGATTTTTAGTACTAGTTTAGGAAAATTAAAACTACAGGGTGCTCAAGAAATGGACATGGATTAAAATATCAAAAACTGCTTATTTATTCTAAGCTTACTCAAGGGTTAGTTGTTAAATTTCACTGTTGTAGTTATGAAATTTCTAAAGTAATTATGACCAAAATGAATGGATTAAATATAAATACAAATGTAAATATAAATATAAAAGAATACCATATATGTTAGCCTTCTGAAAAATTTAACGTATTATCTAATATGATCACTGACTCTTGCTCTAGACTATAAGTCTATCTTATTTGCTTTTATACCATAAGAAAGTAATTTTATACTCTTCTAAAACATTCTGGCAGATGAAAATCTATTTTATCTTGAAAGACTGAGATGATTAAATAGCATCTTCAGTAAACCTTTACAATGTTTAGGAACTTTCACTGTTTCTTCTTTTTTTTGTTTGTTAGGATTCTAGCACCACCAGAGGCTGATGCTATATAAAACTGTTCTCATTTCTAACCCCAATCAGTATATTGTTAGCTAGCTTAAAGTTTCATTTTTGCATCTTCGAAGTCTTTGTCATGTGAGATTAGATATGGAAGGTTCATTATGTTTTTCTTTAATCTCTAATTTCTCCTCATATGTAGATCACATAAATATTTTTATAAGTATGTATATATATATGTAATAAAACTATTTATTTATTTATTTTTTTAAAATGTATTTTATTAATTTTTTACAGAGAGGAAGGGAGAGGGATAGAGAGTTAGATACATCAATGAGAGAGAAACATTGATCAGCTGCCTCTTGCACACCCCCTACTGGGGATGTGCCCGCAACCAAGGTACATGCCCTTGACTGGAATCAAACCTGGGACCCTTCAGTCCACAGGCCGAGGCTCTATCCACTGAGCCAAACCGGTTAGGGCAATATTTATAATTTAGAAGTTATACCATTTCTACTGTACTCCCTGGTAACTTTAGTTATGAAATGTGTTACAAACAGTGTAACAGAAGTTTGAGAAGGTTAGCTAAAGTAATATATATATATTACTTTATATATATTATATATATATATATATTAGAGTCCCCCCCCCCCAAAAAAAAAATCCCAAAACATTATTATTCATCTAATTTGGTACAAGAATGTTATTCAAAGGTAATAATACCTGGAATTTCTGCATAATGTGTGGATACCTTTTAATCTACTAAGATGTTAAGAAAATTT